TATTTAGTGAATCATGTAAACATGGACTTAAACATTTGGCAACATGATGTTGCCTGAACATTACATAATGAGTACATAAAAACTTCTGGAACTTCCTTATTTAAAAATATTGTTTTGATATTTTCTAGCATAAATGAGCTCCATCAGATGCACAAACAACATTAATCAGTGGAATATTGGCCTTTTCAGAGTATGCTTTTAATTTAGTGAAAATTCATTTCTTTTTGCATTAACTATGAGATTTTTTTGCACAGAACATTTTCTTTCCTTATGAAGTTGTCAACAAAATATCATACATAGGCCATTAATAAAGCTTTGATGTCCATAATTTGGATTTGCTCAACTGTAGTGAGAATGGTTTTGTTTTCGGTAATGTCATAGGCTGATCTTCAATCTCATTTCCCATTTCATTGGTATAGCTTTGTAAAGCTAATTGGCATTAATTTCAAATTGGATCTTGATGTATTACTGTGGAAATTTTGTCCTGCAAAGCTGGCATTATTATTACATTGTATGGTTAATCATAGTTAGCAGTAATCTCTTAAATGTGATAAATTGCAATAAATTTGTCTATGACCTTTTCAGAACATTTTGTAAAATTATTGTGGGAACTATTAAATGTCTATTAAATAATTCATAAAGATTATATAAATACTCCCAAGTTTTTATCACTTGTTCAGGTGCTTTACATGAAAGTGATCACGAAGATGAGATGATTTATACCAAGATTTAAATGAGTTGATGTGCGCTGTGTGCATGCAGCAGATTAGACTAAAATGTAATTGCTCAGTGTATTGTGTGAATTTAGCCTATGTAGTTAATTATCGTTTTGGTTGTGTGAACCCAACAAATTGGACTAATTCAATAGCAGTTGGTTCAGTTAGCCAGTGGTTAGTGTAATGTGTGAACACAGCTGATTGATTATGTGATTATGTTTTTGACTCCTAGTGACCACATAGATAGATTTTCTCCCTGACAATCAAATTAGCATAGTATATTTTAGCATGTTGTACAAGCACAGAAAATTAGGTTAAATTTTATACAATTTTCTGTTGATTTTTTAAATATCTAATGATACATACAACATACATGCTGGTATAGATGGAATTCACAAATGATACAGGAATGAGTAAACAAGAATATATATTTAAAAATCTCCTGCATTGTAAATTAGTACTATCACTTAAGTATAATAACAACTCTGAATTAATAATTGAAACATCAGGTACTCCTGAATAACAGAGTTGAAGACTACTTATGAATAAGTAATTTAAAAAATACTCTGTAAAAGCTCTTTTTGTACTAGGTAACTGCCCAATCGATGTGTTTTATATGCCAGAGGAGACTGGGAATTTTTTTACTGCACGTTTTTAGTGTATGATAGAAAAACAGGATTTGAGCAGCAGTAGTAATATATGAAAATACTACCTTTAAAATTGACTTCTCCATGGTTGCAAGTCTTGAGTTCTAATTATATAGATGGTTTTAATCATTACACAATAGTTGTCATTTGGACTCAGAATATTTTTTTAAAAATCTGACTTGCTGACATGCTGATTTGAAAGCAGTAATAGAAATGGTTTGAACCATTGCTTCTACCAGTCATTAAATGAATCTCAAGAGTTTGAGTGTTCAAAACTAAGGCTTGCTCAGTCATCTCATTTCTGGTGGAGAACTACAGTTAATAGCAGATTTTGGCAGATTTATTTCAGGGGTTGGCCAGATGTGACCCACCACCTGAAATCATCTGGCCCATAGTCCCCAAAATAAATACTATATCCATCTGGCTTGCAAGAAGTCCTAAAAAAGAAGGGTAAACACTCCCTCCTTTCCAGTGATTGAGGCTCATAGATGAGTCTAGAGTCTGGGCCTGGAAAATGGAGGAAAAAGCAGCTTCTGGCTTCTATGTGGAAGAAGGTTATTGAGCCCTATCGTATTTCATCTATTAGATGTACCATTCTTCTGCCCATCATCCACAGTCAGATGGTGAAACAGAGAGGACAAATTCCACCTTAGAACAATGTCTTTCTTGCCCTCTTAACTACCAGCAAGACAGCTGGCCTGGTCTTTTTTTTCTTTTTTTTCTTTTTTTCTTTTTCTTTTTCTTTTCTTTTCTTTTTCTTTTCCTTTTTTTTTTTTTTGTGGTTGAGTTTACTTATAATTCAGCTCATGCCTTCACTCAGATGTTCTCTTCCAGGCCATATAACAGTTATCGTCCTCAAATACTTCCCTGTCTTCATGTTTCTCAGCCCTCTCCCTTTCCAGAGGCCTCTCATTTTCCCTTAGATCTGTATAACTGTCTAAAAAGCTGGATGCTTTCAGCCATATTGAAAGTACAGTGGTACCTCTAGTTACGAACTTAATCCGTTCCGTGACTCTGGTTGCAACTCGAGTTGGTCTCAAGTCGAGGTAACGTTTCCCATAAGGTTCAATGTAAATACGGCTAATCCGCCCTCCAAATTTGGTCGCACGAAACATGAAGACAGGGAAGTATTTGAGGACGATAACTGTTATATGGCCTGGAAGAGAACAGCTGAGTGAAGGCATGAGCTGAATTATAAGTAAACTCAACCACAAAAAAAAAAAAAGGAAAAGAAAAAGAAAAGAAAAGAAAAAAAGAAAAAGAAAAAAAGAAAAAGAAAAAAAGAAAAAGAAAAAAAGAAAAAGAAAAAAAGAAAAAGAAAAAAAGAAAAAGAAAAAAAGAAAAAGAAAAAAAGAAAAAGAAAAAAAGAAAAAGAAAAAAAGAAAAAGAAAAAAAGAAAAAGAAAAAAAGAAAAAGAAAAAAAGAAAAAAAAGACCAGGCCAGCACAGGAAGCCGCGACTGCGTGGCAGCAGGGAAAATGGCCGCGGATCCAGTTCGTAAGTAGAGGCGAGTTCATAAGTAGAGGTAAATTTTTGGGGCCGGAGCTGGTCATATCTCGAAAATTTTGTAAGTAGGGGCGTTCGTAAGTAGAGGTACCACTGTACATCCAGTTTTCCACTGTGACTTTCTGATCCTGGAAGGTCTGCTGTGCTCTTAATTTGCCACACCCACCTGCATCTGGGAGGTTGTATCAATTTTTTACTTTCAATACAGGAAGAGTAGACTGTGTAGAATATTTGATTAATTGAATGAATGCATATGAGAACCAGCAGACAATGTATGTACTTGCATACCTCACATCTTCATCAGTTTCATTTGCAATACCTTCACTACTTAAACTGCCCAACTGGCTGAGCAGTGAGGTTTGGCACCTACCTGCAGTTCTGACTCAATGAAAGAGGGGACTTATTTGGGGGGAGACAATTGTATGACTAATGATAAAGAGACAAGAGACTGTTTATTTTGTTTGCTTTCTTTAGGTATTGTACTGTTTTTAGTTATGTGCCACCCAGAGTAGATTTTGAGCTGGAGCAGCCTTATAAATTGAAATTGTAAAGATAAATAAATATAAATGTATTACATTTTAATAAGTATTAAAAGGACAACTGAAAACAATGTCAATGAGGAAAAAATGGAAGATAACAGGAAAAGCTTATGCAGCTGCAGAAAACTCAGTGAAAATCTGAAATCCAGACATTACATAAGAGAAGGGGGAAAGAGGGACAGTCACCAAGGAAGAATACATACAGCTAACCCAGAACAATAGAAATGGTGTCAGAAAAGCTGGAATGAACTAACAGTTGTGCTAAATGTTAACAACTATAGAAAGCTTCAGATGTGTTCAGAATTTAAAAAAGAGAAAAGAAACATCATCTGCTTAATAAAGATGGTAAAATTCTAACATATAACTAAGAGAAGGTAGAATTATTCAACTCTTATTCTGGCTTAGTCTTCTCTGAAAGGAATGTATATATTCCAAAAGGTAGCTGAAGAGACTAGGATGAAAAGACAAGATTGAAGCCTGAGATTTGTCTGTTTACTATATATGAGTTTAAATCACCAGAATTAGATGAATTAGATTCTGTGGTACTGAAGGTACTTGTTGAGGGATGTCCAAATCATTATGTGTTATTTTTAAAATTTTTGGAGAACAGATAAAATGTCAGACAACTGGAAGGCAACAAATATTTTACCTATCTTATTAAAACAAACAAAAAAGATCCTGAGAATACAGAACAATTTGACATCAGGACTTGGACAGTTTCTAAAGCAGGTCTTAATCCAATTGTTTTCAGAATAGTTAAAGATCAGCATGGTAATTATTACAAGTTTAGAATGGATTTGTCAAGAACAAGTCTTGTTAGAGAAACCATATCTCACTTTTTGATCAAATAAGTTTCTTAGTAGATTGTGGGAATGTTATAGATGTAATACATCTTGATTTCAGCAACAGAGAGAACTCTAGCAGACAAGACAAATGTGGACTCGAAGGCATAACAATTAGATGTGTATATAATGGAAGCAAAAAGTATGCTTGAAGAGCATTTGTCAATGTTTATTCGTCTAACTAGAGAAGAGTATTAAATGAGATGTCAGAATCTGAGACTCTGTGTTCTTCGACATCCTTATTAATAACATGGATGGTGAAGTAAATGGAATGTATATCAAATGCTAAAGTTTGGGTGAAATAACTAATACTTAAAATGCAAAAATAAAATGCAAAATAAACTTGGTAAATTAGAGAAGTAGGCTGAATGAAACTTAACAAATACAAATTACCTGAGATTTCCTGATCTTTCTGTAAATGTTTATCATTGTTACTTTTTTTCTCATCAGTGCAGAATGATGGAATCTTGGAATATATACCAGAGGTTACTTGCATATAACTGTATTAAAAGCTCACCTTTTTTTTTCTGTTTAATTCATTGTTTAGACATGCATTTCCTAAACTGATGCACTGGTTAATACTACACACTTGATCAAGTGAATTCTTTTTGTAAACTTACCTAATTAGGTGAAACCCAGTCCACAGTATCTGCTGTCATTAGGCTCTGTCTTGTTTCAGTAGCCTGGCTTATCTTTACACGTCATTATCTCTTGTATTCATTTACTAAGCATCCAGAGGATACCCATTTAAGTAGATTCTCACTGTAGCCTGTGCACAGAGACTATTTTAGATTTTAGTTTTCACTGTGTATTCTTATTTTTAAAATTAACTTTTTTGTTTGTGGTTTACACATGAGGAACACTTTAAGAATGATTCTTCAAAGCCTCTTAAACATATCAAAAGAGAAAAGTTGGCAACTTGGCAGGAACAGCATAAATCAGAGGAATAGAAAAGTAAACAAAATAATTAAAAAAAAGGTGAGAATGAAAACAACTTTTTAATTATTGTGATGCTTTTAGAACAATTTTTATAGTTAGTGTTATCTTGCAATTACGATGTACTACAGGCACAGCAATGTTTTCATCTTTAGAAGTTTACTATGTACATGTATTTGTTTTCACTTGCATGTTTACATTTTTTTGCTTGAATTCTTTTACATAACATTATTTTAGAATGTTGTTATAATCCTATTGCTTGGTAGATACTAGCTTACAAATTAAAAATTACATTACAAATATTAATAAGGGCAGCAGAGATTTCTGAAAAGTAGCATATAGTTCTGGATGCCTCTCATAATATCGCATAATTAAAAGCATTCCACTTGTAAAACAGGCTTTTTGCTGCTCTTTCTTAAAAATAGATTTTTTTTTTGCTTTATTACTGTATGTAATATCTGTGAGTAAATATTTAGTAGAAAATTCATTTTTCTGCTATTTAGGATCTTTCATTTATTTTATTTAAATGATGCACATCTGGAGAATTCTCTGGTGGTCTTGGCATCTGTATAATACATTTCTGATTGCCTCCTGCTACTTTACGAAGAATAAAAGTGCAAGACCACTACTAATTCTTTTAACTCTGATAAATATTTGTCAGTTGGAAAAACAATGCACCATTTTGCAGTGAACAAGAGGCTACTGTATAGTCAGATTTAGAAGGTTAGTTTCCATAGTTTGACCTTGCAGTCATAATTTACAAAGTCATGCCTTAGGCTATTTTTACTAACAACAGTTAAACAGCTTTTCCATTTCCTGAATCTGTAGATGAAATAATACATTTCAATTATCTAGAATACTCATTCAATCTTAAAATGTCTGCCTAAAAGTTTTAATGCAGTCTCATGACACATTTCAAGGTGAAAACCACTCTTCATATCACTTATAAAAATATGCTTAAGGGCATTTTACATGATCACTGCTTTGTGCAGTTGTTCTTCATTTATTATTTGCACTTCATATTCTCCTTTGCATAGATTTTGTAAGCTTGAGTCTATATATTGCAACTAGACACCCCTAGTTACCTCTTCCTCTCTTTTAGCAAGACTTCAGTCGCTGTAAGGAAAAGAGACTGGAATTAATTGGTTATATTCTGATAATGCATGCAATTATATTATATCACAGCCTCCTTCAATTTTATTGAAGCATACTTTTCCAAGTAGCAGACCTAATTGATCACAAACAGTTCTTTTTATTAGGAAATATCTCCTAATAGGTAAAGAAATTTGTTATGATTTAAGTAAGTTATATTCATGTTCTTAAAACACTTTTAAAATAGTTGAGCTTCAGAATGTGTTATCGTACATTTTGTCAGTTTGGTTGTAATGTACTTTTTCGATAATAGGACATTGAGAAGGTGATTCTCTGGATTTGGGGTTCTGTTGCCTTTTTCTTATTTGAAGGCAGATTGAGATAATGTATTTCCTACTGAAACAGATATTGTGGGTTGTTGATTCTTTCAGGAAAATATATCATCAAGAATACTTTCTTCCTCTTCTTCATTTCCATAAGCTACAGTTTTGCCAAATAAAATTAAATGGCACATCTTTAAAAAAGGGTTATGTTAATGTGTACTTGATAATGCCTTGCGCAACTAATATGTTTTATTGATTCAGTTTGCATAGTGTGTCTGTAATGTGGCTTGTTTGTTTTTGGTTTAATATGTGAATGCAGCTATTGATCCTGAGGGTACAATTCTGTTCTGTGCTACTGTTTCAAAAGAATAAGCCAAAATTGTAGAGGAATAAACTTATCCTACCTCAGAAGAATTAAAAGCCTAATCTAGCATTTAAAATGAAATAATTGCAGTTGTGGCAGTAAGCTCAATGTGCTTATTTGATTTACGCACATAATTCCATTCATAATAATAATTTTCATAGCTTTATAATAATATATTCTATTAAGCATATATATACAATATGAACTTATATGGATTCTTTTCAGTCAGGGTTCAGATTTTCAACAGCATTGAGATGGCATTGGTTGCACCAGTGGACAACTTGTGGAGGGCTCAGGATGAGGGTGGTGCATCTGTCCTGCCATCCTGGCCCGCTTAGTGGCTTTTGATATCACTGATCATGTTATCCTTCTGAATTGGTTCCAGGTGCTGTGAGTGGGGGGCACGGTTTTGCGGTGGTTCTGTGGCTGGTTCCAGTCAGTGTTGGAGGGGGGAAATTGATGTGGGTGCCTTAGGACTCATTCCTAAGTCTTTCATTCTTCCTCTTTAATGTCTACATGAGATTGCTGGGAGAGGTCATCCAGTGACACGGGGCAATATCATCAATATGCTGATGAAACCCAGCTATATATCTCCACCCGAGCTGGCCAAGTGATGCTATCCCAGTTTTGGTCCAGTGCCTGAGGGTGTAAGGGTTTGGATGGGGAGGAACTGGCTTCAACTCAACCCCAGCAAGATGGAGTGGCTCTGGGTTTTTGGGCCTTCTGGGTCCTCCTCCTGATATGTCATCTCTGACTCTTGTTAGGATAGCTGTCCCGCAATCAGAGCTGGTGTGCAACTTAGGGGCCCTCCTGGACTCATGGGTCCTGCTTGAGGAGCAAGTGGCAGCCATGGCTAGGGGACCTTTGCACAGATCCATTTTGTGTAGCAATTGTACCTGTTCCTGGACTGGGAAGCCTTTTCACAGTCACTTACACCCTGGTCACTTTCTGGTTGGATTATTGTAATTCACTATACATGGGGCTGCCTTGAAGACCATCCAGAAATTACAACTGGTTCAGAATGTGGTGGTGTGCTCCACAGTTTGCTTATATTACACCAGTGCTTTCTGAGCTGCACTGGCTTCCAGTTTCTTTCTGGATGCAGTTCAGGGTTCTGATTATCACCTTTAAAGCTCCAAATGGCATGGAACCAGGTTACTTGCAGGACTGCCTCTTGAGGTCAGATAGGGTGGGTGTGCTGCAGGTCCCTTCCCTTAAGTGTTATCGTCTAGTAGAACCTAGGAAGTGTGCCTTTTCCATAGTAGCCCATGCCTTGTGGAACACCCTTCCCGCAGAGATCCAGCAGCCCCCCCCCCTTTGCCTACCAGAAGGCTTTGAAGAGCTGGCTCTTCCCACAAGCATTGGGATAGAATGAGTCTGGAACCCAGCAAGATAGTATGTGGATATGTGGGACATTGCTGCCTTGGGACACCATAATTTTTATCAACCTTTTACTGAGTTTTTCTTGAGTTTTTGTTTTGATTGTTTGGGGGTTATGTGCTATTTTTATTGTTTTTGAATAACCCAGGGTTGTGGTTGCAATATGGGTGGTTATATAAGTCTTTTAAAATAAATAAACTTTTATATTGTGAGATGTGGTAGCATCTAACTGACCTTGGCAAATCTCAGATGATAAGGAGTGCCAGGCCTGGTTGGTATTTGGATGGGGAATGTAGGCTAGATTGGGAAGTCAGAAAACATCTTGGATGAAGACAGTTGTAAACCATTGCTCTCTGTTGCAGTCTGTACAGTTTGTGTTTCAATCAATCAATCTTTAGTTTTGCTGTCTGCCTGAGACTGACAAATGACAGCAATGAGTCACTTAGGACACAGTATGTGGCTGGTAGCCAGTGATTGGCTTGATAAGGTATAAATTGTGTGAATTAAGTTTGAGACAGGCTTTTGAAAGGCCTCCAGAAGATAGTTCCTTGGACCCAAAGGAAAAGAGACAAGAGAGAGAAGCAAATAAGAGAGAAATTTTTATTGCTATATAATATATAAATTCTGCCCTTGGTGATTTGTTGCAATATTGCATGCAAGTATATAAGGAGCAGAGCTTGCATTGTGATGTCACAACATATTTTATAATTTGGGCAAAATCTCAGCTTGCTCTGGTCAAACTTGACATGAAGATTCCCTTTAGTTAATGAAGAATCTCTTGTGCTACTTGGAAGGCCTCCCCCCCCAAAAAAAAATTATCATAGAAGAAAAATGAATTGAAATCCAAAGAAGTTCTATCATTTGTACAAATCACTGAGTGTTTTTCTTCACATTTGGTATTACGTATAAATTAAATTTCCCATAGCAATTAAATACCATTTAAAAGCAAGCTCAAATGGCAGGGACACATGTAGTTTCCATTATGTTCCAGGCATGAAGGCTTGCTTTTCAAACCATACTCCATTGGTATATGCCTACTATAAATACCTAAACCCTGATTGCAAATAGTCTTGCTTTTCATTGGGGAAGTATTTGTGCTTGGGATTTAAATGGTCTGTTTGCAGGATTCTGTTGCGCGTACTTTGCAGTGGGAGGACTACTTGTGCTTCATGTATTAGGATTTGTTTTCCAGTCGGGAACTGCATGTACTCTGTATGAATATAAAATTGAAGAATTATTTTGAATACTATGATATCTTGCCAGATGCTTTGTCACACAGACACTCTCCTAATAAATTATACTAAACTATGACATTATTTATGTTTGCTTGTAAGACAATCCTAGATAATTATGGTTTATTCAATATGCATTTCTTTTATTTTCACATACCATCTATTTCATATTAAGCTTTCCACATAAGGTGGGTGCACTCCAGATCCCCTCCCTTATATATTGTCATCTGATAGGACCTCGGAGGTGTGCCTTCTCAGTAGCTGCTCCCACCCCTTGGAACAGCATCTCATCAGAGATCAGAAGAATCCCTATCCTTTTAGCCTTCTGGAGGTCTGTGAAGACCTGGCTCTTCCCCAAACATTGGGCTAGGATGGGGGTTGAGCTGCAAGGATGATGGGTCTGGTGCCTAGGGGAAAGGGTACTTTTGTTTTTATCTATGTTTTTTATGGATTGTTGTGAGCTGCCTAGAGTCATCATATGAGATAAGCGGCCATATAAGTCCTGTAAATAAATAGGTGACTATGGCATGAATGATGTGAGCAAGGCCTCCTGGTCCAGGAATGGTCACAATATGCACACAAGATGGATTTGTGCAAAGCTCACCCCCAGCCACAGCTGCTACCTACTCTACCAACAGGAGCTGCGAGGCCAGGAGGATCCCCAAATCATGTTCTAGATCTGTCCAGGGGAGTGTTACTCCATCCAGATTCATCAGTGTTGTCTCTCCAGACCCTGGGGGACCAAAGACCCAGAACCACTCCATTTTGCTAGGGTTGAGTCAGAGCCAGTTTCTCCCCATCCAGGCCCTTACAGCCTCCAAGCACTGAGCCAGCACCTGAACAGTATCACTTCCCTGGCAAGGGGTAGATATCTATAATTGCGTGTCATCAGCATACTGATGATATCGAACCCCATGCCGCCAGATGACATGAGATGTTAAACAGGAGAGAAGAGAGCCCTGAGGCACTCCATGTAACAGGGGCCTAGGGCTGGACTTCTCCTCCACTAGCACTGACTGGTACCAGCCATGGAGAAAGGAAGAGAACCACCACAAAACATTGCTCCCCACTCCCAATCCCCAGAGCTGGTCTAGCAAGATACCATGATATTGGAAGCTGCTGAGAGATCCCGAAGGGCCAGGATGGACACATCATCCCCATCCCAAGCCCTCTAAAGGTCAACCACAAGCACAACCAACGATGTCTCAGTACTATAGCCCAGCCTGAATCCTGACTGAAAAGGGTCAGGATTCATCCAGGGCCCTCCACAGCTGGGAGCCCACTATCCTTTCAACAACCTTCCTTAAAAATGAAAGGTTAGAGACTGGACGGAAGTTATCCAAGACCATAGGGTCCAAGGATGGCCTCTTGAGGACAGGGTGAACCACTGCCTCTTTCAAGGCCAGCAGAACCATCCCTCCCACAAAGAGGCATTTACCATCACTTGGACCCAACCACATGCCAACTCCCTGGAGGCCTTAACCAACTAGAAGGGGCATGGGTCCAGAGTACAGGTGGCAGAGCTCACAACAGTAAGGACTCTGTCCACTTCCTCAGGATTGACCAGCTTGAATTCCTCCCAGATAACCAAGCTAGGACGTGCCTCAGGCAGGTCCACTGGATCTGCCCACTTAGAGTCCAACTCCGAATGAAGTCAAGCAACTTTATCCAATAGATACCTAGAATAGTCCTCACAGCGACCCTGCAAGGGTTCACCTGCCCCCCCCCCATTATCCAAGAGGGCCCTGATCACCTGAAACAGGGCCACTGGCCGGCCATATGCAGATGCAATAAGAGCAGAGAAGTAAGCATGCTTCACCACTCTTACTGCCACAAGGTAAGTTCTAATAAAGACTCTTACGTGTGCTCCATTGGCTTCATCCCTCCTCTTCCTCCAGCAATGCTCTAGGTGTTGTGTTGTCAACTGCTAAGGAATTGATTTGTTCCATTCATTCTGTGGATCCAACCACATTTATCTAAGGTCTCATTTACTGGAATTTAACAACATGAAACTATAATAAAAATTATATTCATAAGAATATAATTTTTATTATAGTTTCATAATTAAGGCTTCTTGATGAAATGGTATGCACTGCTTAAATTAGCATTTGATTGAAAACCAGATGTGTACTGTTTTTGCTGACTTGCACTCTGATTGCCAGTCTATGAGTATAATATTCCATTGATTCTTTCCAGTCACATTTTAACCATTCTGAGCCTAGATATAAAACATCACCAGAACATAACTATTTGAGAACAGATGGGAGTTGTAATTTCTTCTATTAACTCTGTTGATCTTTGGGCATTTCTTTATTCCATTTCATTTTTCAGAGAATGTTTGCTTAATTTTATAAAGGCTCTTTGTTCTGTAGTTTAAGAAATCATTGTCTCAGAACACTGCACCAAATTATGCAGATCAGGCTCTGTATGACTTAAAAAGTTTTGCTTTGTACAATATAGTTGTTTCCTGTTTTTCAGATGATATTGACTGTGTTCCTGAGCAATAATGAACAAATTTTGACTGAAGTGCCAATTACTCCTGAAACAACCTGTCGAGATGTGGTGGAATTTTGCAAAGAACCTGGTGAAGGTAGCTGCCATCTTTCTGAAGTGTGGCGTGGAAATGGTAAGCAATACTTTGGCATTCCAAGAAATTTGTCTGTGCTGCATTATACCAGGTTTATCATTTATCAACTGATAACAGTTGCATGGTTTTCACCAACATTTTGAAAAAAAACATTGCTTTGTGATTGCACATTGTCCACAGCTTAAGCTGAAACTGTATAATTTTTCCCAGACTATAGAGAGATTATTGGTCATATGAAAAATTAGCAGATCAGTAAAATATCTGAAAGTATTTTATTTTCAGATATGTGTATATGACATTAAAATGTTGTCTTTTTTGTTTATTTAACCTATTTCTCATCTGCCTTTCAGGATATACCTTTATAATAATGAATTACAGCATAAAACAATAAAGTTGAACATCAAATACATATGCATATATATACTTATATTCACTAAATTGAATTAACATATTTAAATCCATTTTGAAGAAGGAGAGTTTCAAAATAGCCATCGCATAGTTAGCAGTATAAAAAGTCTAAAAAATAAATTAATTTACAGCAAATACCAGAAAACCTTTGGCTAAGATCTAGGGAGAACAGATACCTTTTTAAAAGCCTCCTAAAAGAAACAATAGGTGGGTCCAGCCATATATCACTCAGAACTGCATTCCCTTGGGTAGGACCAGTTTTGAGGCATCTGTCTTAGTGATGCCTGACTGATCTTAGAAGCAAGATGAGTATGATTGCAAGAGGTTGTGTTCATGTAGGTTTTGCAGAACTTTAACAAATCTGGATCCAATTTTTGGGGGACTTGGCCTTCATTAAAGGTCTGCACTTTCAATTTAGCCCCAAAATTGGCAACTTATGCAGGTGATAAATGGGATCTGACTATCTAGCCTGAGAAGAACTAAAACAACCACATTCTATACCAGGTGAAGTTTCTGTAGTTTCTTAAATGCAGCACTACTTTAAGCACATTATGGTAGTCCAGTTTTGTTATGACTAAGTAGGCTGCAGCAGCCAGGTAAAGGCATTTCTGCCGCCTCTGTTTCCACAGAGGTTAATGAAATTTGTCTCTAAATTACTTCTAATTCTAGAGTTTTATAGCTGTCCTGGGAGCAGAATGTGGTAAACAGAGGTAAAAGTTTGTGTTTGATGGATAGATAGATGAATAGATAATGCAGCAGCCCAGAGCTCCAGATGACTTCCCCTAACGGTTCCATGTAAATGTTAAGCTCCATAAGAGACAAATGGAACCCCACAGTATCCCACTAGTTACCTCCTCTCTAAATTTTCACTGCAAGAAGCATACTGTTCAATCTAGTATAATACCATTACTTGTGAAGATGGCATGCCTTTAAACATGAACCTGAACAGAGTTAAATGTGCATATTTAGCCTTAAGCCCATAGTTCTTAATAAAATTCTGATGAGATATTCTGAATGGAAGAGGTTTCTGTTTGCTTGTTCTTGGTAAAAGGTAAAAAAGATCACATGATTATCTTAATTATCATAAATTAGCACTAGCAGTTGGAAACATAGTAAACTGGCATGATTCCAGAAAACTGATGAAGAACAAATGAAATGAAAATATTTAGGAATTAAGCACCAATGCATGTGTAGACATATTGGAGCACTTGGAAAATAAATGTAATGAATAGCAACTTTTAAGAGGCTGAGATCAGGCTATTGCATACTGTTTCTCAGATAAAATCCTTTTGTTAATCTTAATTGCATTTAAGCTTAGATTGGCATCAACATTAACTAGACTCAGTAGTTACTTGTTTTCCTGCTTAACCAGGATTCTGAATTCAGTTTCACATTCTTTTTAAAACTCTTAATAAATAAAAGATTTGATTAGTTTTTAACATGGGTAAGATAGTGCTAAACTATCTATAAACCATGGTTAAATGGGGATAAAGACTAGATTAGAAAGGTCAGAATAATTACTAGCAGTTATTAAGTAGTATAAAAAACAGTTATGCCTGAAAAGTTTAAATATTGCCTCTGAAAAAAATAATTTGTTTTGATACAGAAAGAACCATTCTACCTTGTGCTGGAATAAACTTTGATTTTATTAAAATTTCTTACCAATACTTTTAGCATATTTTAAGAATGCTTGGGAAACATGACTGTAAGAGCACTTCTTAGTTAGGTATGCAATGAATAGAAAATCATGCTTGGAGGATGCATATAATAGATAGTGACATTCTTTAAGTCATTGCTTTGCTTGGTATTATTTCATATTTTCATCAATGCCTTGTTTTGTCAGATAGCAAAATAGAGGTGTAATGTTCCCTTGTTGGCTTTTGTGTTAGGCTGATGGGCTGTGTGGAATGTGGTGGTTTACAAATTGTTTGAGTGTAATTGTTTCTAGAGCAATACAGTGGTACCTCGGTTCACGAACTTAATTCGTTCCATGATTCTGGTCGCGAAGCGAATTGGTCGCGAAGTGAATCAAATTTCCCCATGAGGTTCAATGTAAATAAGGTTAATCCGTTCTGAACCATATGTATTTTTTTTTAAC